TCAGCAGGATATGCAAACTAAACAGTGTGCACTCAAATCAAGCCAACAACTTCCAAATCCATATTTCTTGGACATTCACCTAGAGTGAACTCAACCGCTGGAGCTGTCAGCATTAGAAGAGTTGCTCAGTTTGAAAGTCAAATTATGACAGTCAACACACACACACATCACAAAAAGCAAACAGCTGTATTTCCTTTAAAAGTCATCAGGTCAGCACATCCATAAAGCCATGACAGTCCATTGACCCTCACATTAATATTTAATAGAGATCTAAGTCTGTATCTTCTGCCTTTACGAGAAGAACTTAGACAAGAGGAAGTCTTTTTATTATTAAAAAAAAATCCGTCTTATCTGTTTCCATCACCTTTCTGAGCAAGCGTTCATTTAGAGAGAGATGAGAGATCTCATTTGCAGGTGCATTAGTGCTTTTCGCTCGCTGCTCTTTGAGCAGACAGTGATATGGAAGATAGAGCAAACATGAAAAGTCCTTTAACCCCTCATGAGCAAAGATGACTTAGTCTGTTAATGATGGAGAGGTTTATAATCAACCGTACAAGAACACCAACTCTCCCCCCAAGCGTCTGTGGGCGTATGTGTGCAGTATTGAGGCACAGATATCTGAAATACTTGATTCTGATTGGACAGTGGCAGCAATCTGAGGTCAAATGTATTCACATACTAAATTAAAATGTGTCTGTAATTGTGAATCAAATTAATGTGAATCAATATTTCACATAAATTAATGTGTTATTTAAAGTAGCAGAGTAATAAGTGGGATATTATTCCAGTAATCTGGTCATCATTGTAAAATAAGAGAAAAAGAACACGATCATCCTAAATCTCTGCCAACGTGGCACAGCAAGAGAGCGATAAGATGAATTTGCATGCCATGGACAAGTAGGAAAAAAAGAGAAAGGGAAATAGGAAAAGTGTGGTCAGCATCTGTAGCTCATTATTCACATCAGCTGCAGTAATTTCCAACACACAGTCCTGTCCACCCTTAAATAAATTATGGGCACGTTGTGTGCATTTAGTCGACTGCGTGATAGAGACTGATTGGAGAGAAAGCATGAATAAATCTTCACACAGACAAAGAAACACAGATGGATGTCTGCATGTGTTATAAAAAGGGATGTCAATAGATTTAAATATTTAATTGCATCAAGCAACTTATTTGTGATTATTATAGTAATAATTACAAATAATAATTGCAATAATAATAATTACAAAATAAATATAATATTACAAATACTATAAATATATTTAATAAAATAATACAAACCAGTAATAATAATAATAATAATAATAATAATAATACTATATATATATATATGTGTATGTATGTGACCCTGGACCAAAAAATTGATCATAAGGGTAAATGTTTCAAAATTGAGATGTATACATCATCTGAAAGCTGAATAAATAAGCTTTTCATTGATGTATGGTTTGTTAGGATAGGACCATATTTGGCCAAGATACAACTATTTGAAAATCTGAGGGTGCAAAAAAAACAAAATATTGAGAAAATCGCCTTTAAAGTCATCCAAATGGAAGTTCTTAGCTATGCATATTACTAATCAAAAATTAAGTTTTGATATATTTACAGTAGGAAATTTACAAAATATCTCCATGGAACATGATCTTTACTTAGTGTCCTAATGATTTTTGGCATAAAAGAAAAATCAATATTTTTAACCCATACAATGTATTTTTGGCTATTGCTACAAATATACCCCAGCGACTTAAGACTGGTTTTGTGGTCCAGGGTCACATATATATGATTTAGAATTAGTATGCTGTCTTGGGTTGATGGGTTCAACTACATAACAATCATTTAGCAGCTTGGATGAGGCAGGTGATTTGAGGTCAACTCAGTACACTGATGGCAGTGCCATCTCCCTGCAGCGAGTGTGGATAAACTCCACTGGGTTTCTTTGTCTCTAACAGAACAACAGTGTCGGGCGGGACGTTGGCTCGGTCTGCGGTGAAGTCATTTGATAAAACAAACTCCGACCGTGGCAGTAACGGAGGACAGAACGAGTGACTTCAGATAAGGCTTGTTTATTTGGGCCAGCGATGTGGGAACAAGGATGCACTTGCGATGCCCTTAGTGACATGACCACACTCTCAGACCTCTTTAAAAGGCGAGGGCTTGACCGAGGGTTTGGATGTCTGAGTATGTGTGTGTTAGGAGTCTAGAGTGCTTTCTATAACCTATTTGATGTTTCCACCGAGAGAAAAATGTCAAAATGACAGGCCAATCAAACCTGCACTTAAAATCCTGACTGAGCACTTAAATCCTCCCAGACACACACGAAAAGCAAAACAGATCTAAGAAAGCTCACCTGAGTGAAGATTATCGTGACAGTCTTCATAATAAAGCTTATTTTTATAACTCGCATCAGTTTCTAATCAGCTCAACCGAAAATTCAAACAAAGTTCATGATCTACACACCATTTTCAAGTCAATATGAAACCTAATTTTCTACCTACCTAATTTTTCAGAGTAAAACATGATGATGTATGAAACTATTATGAACAATAAAACCTACAAAAAAATTAAGGAAGTCAAATTCAATGTCCTATTGAATGTAAACAAAGACTTGGTTAACAGGATAATAATAATAATAACATAATAATAACATATAAATAAATAAATAAATCTAAAATTAATTTTAAAAAATACATAATTATATATAGTAATTAATTATATTAGAAATATTAATAACAGTCTTAAAAAAAAATAAAGATAAAAATACAAATTTAATAAAGGTCCAAAAACAACATACTGACAATTGTATAATTAACTAACATCACCTCACCTAGACAGATTTACGCATTAGTGTTTCACGAGTGCAATGACATATGTGTGCATTCATAATTTATCAGATTTATGATTATTAGGCACGGCTGATGAACCGTGCTCACTGACGCATGGAAACATGTCAAAGCGGAGTCACTCCACTTTCCACTATCCCAGATGGTCCCCCAGACCCTCATCTTCCTCACACTCGCACACACACACACACATGCACACACACACACACACACACACACACAGTTTTGCTTTTCATCTCCCTCCCCCATCTCTTTCATCCGCTCTCTCTCGCCTTCTCCGAGGTGCACATGGCTTTGACACATTGTTTGTGGTCACCGGGCTGGTTTGGCAATTAGTAGCTATAATCTGATCTTGCTGATATAGGCTCAAGGAGAGGCTAATACACACAAATCTACCACAGCAAACACACTTTAAACCACAAAGGCCAATTGCCTTTCAATTAGCCAGTAAAGAAGGGATCACTAACCCCGTTCCCTCCATCTGCCGCCTTCAGACACACTTCAACTTGAACATGGGGGGAAAAACTCTCCTAAATGAATTTCTACAATGCTTTTGTCTGTTCTGTATGGCTGGAATCTAAATCAGACACATTAGAGCTTGCGCAGACATCATTTAGTGCTGACTGTCTGAGGTAAATCATAGAGCGTTTTAGCTTTTATGATGCAAAAAAAGCATGCACGTTTAAGCAAAGTGAGTTAGGGAGCAGCAGAGGGTTGCAAATAAAACTGTGTGTGAACTATACACAGACTTACGCAATACCTGTATGAGTGTTATCAGACAGAAAGACAAGCAAACAGGTTGTGTGATGGATGGAATTGGACAGGCAGTGGAGATGGAAACAAATAGACAATCCTTTCATGTTGGCTGTGTGTTCATTACTGATCTACACACACACACACACACACAGCATGTCGAACTGAACGTCTGATTTCTGGCGCGGCTGCAACAACCAATCAACCACCATCTGTCAAATGCCAGACAAGGAGGGAGATGTTTTGCCCTCTCTCATTCTCGCTGAGAATGACCTGACTACAACATGACACCGGTGGTCTTCATCAGAGGTTGTGTTCACACACAAATGTTCCTGAACAGGACACAGGTATTACTAGTCCAATATGGGTTTGTCAATTAAAGAGATAGTTCACCTAAAATGAAATTCTGTCATTATTTATTCACCCTTGTGTCATTCCAAACCTGTTTGACTTTCTTTCTTCATTAGAACACAAAAGGCTACGTTAGGCAGAATGCCAGTCACCATTCACTTTCATTATATGGACGACAGATGCAATGAAAGTGAATGGTGACTGGGGTTGTTAGTCTCTAACATTCTTCCTAACATCTCCTTTTGTGCAAGTCATACAGATTTTTGATAACGCAAATAAAAAACCCATTTTGGGGTCAACCATCCTGAATATGGATAATATATACCGGTTTCTAGCTTTTTTTTTTAAGTATTTAAGAGTAAATTGCGTTATAAAAAGTCAGTGCATAGGTCATTTTCACTGCCCAAAATCACACTAAACCAAAAGATTCAACCAGTCAGTTTCTATATTGAAAAAAAAAAACATTTTCTCTAAGAAAACACTTAAACTGTCAAGAAAAGACAGAAAATTACATTTGTAAGCCTTTCAGGTCATTCTGCATAGAACATATTCGTTTTAAGATTACCAAGTATCCTAAATGTTGTTACTATGTAGACCATTTTGAACCAGCTTAAGGTGGGCACGCTGGTTTCTCTGGTCCTAACTGAAAATTAGCCAGTCCAAGGTAGTCATTAGCTGTTCCAATCTAGAAGACCATCTTAGACCAGCAACATACCAGTTTAAGCTGATCATAAAATGACCCGCTCCTATGTTCTTAACCACAGTTACCATGTTAAACTCCACATGTTAACGACCAGCATGGTTTTTACGTAATCCAACCATTCATTCCGCAACATTCAGCGCCCCGACCATCCCGCGTCTGTCTAAAAAACCACATAAACTCCTTCCCAACTCCGTTGGATGCCAAAGAGATCTCTTTCTATACTCAACTTAGTCCTCCCGAATAAATCCCAGCGCAATTCTCCGCTACGAGACATTCACCTGTCAAACCTGAAGCGCGCCGCGCGTAACGCACTCCACGGAGCGCTTCAAAGAGAGACAAACATCCACATATTTACCTTCCATCGCGAAAACGGTCGTTACAGCACACAAAACCGTTATTAATCCCACAGTCATGGTAAAAGGCATTGGCCGCTGCCGCGGTGTCCCCTTGAATTTGGAAAACCGGACGGCGTGGAGTGCGCGTAAAATCCGTCACTTGTCACGCAGGGTGCTATTCCAGCGAGCGAGCGGCGTGGAGTCACATCGCAGGCAGTAGTAAAAGAGTGAGTGGATGCTGCCACGGACGCGGAGCGCAGAGATGAGAGCTTGGGAGAGACGGACCCCCCGAAACCCCCTTTAAAAGCTATGGACCAATCAGAGACTGCACACCGAAAACCGCCAACCAATAACAGACCTCCTTGCAGCATGCATTGTTATTCAAAACAAAAACTTTTCAATGTTTCTCTATGAGGTGAAATACGCGTTCGGTTGGAAGGGAAATAGCGACCTCAGATGGCCAAAACGGAACTTCACCAGTGGAAATCACTTCAGTTTTTTTAACAAATAGGCATCATTCTAAACCAGGGCTGCCCAAACTCGGTCCTGGAGGGCCGGTGTCCTG